AATGAGAATGTTGAGTAGTGTAGATCGAGGGTGAATAATCGGGGCTTCTGCCTCGGGCACGAAACTAAGGCTCTTAAAAATACATAACAAATGAACAATAAAATAGCAAATAGGGTCATAAATTTTTGTAGCAGAATAGAATAATATGCAGATTAGAAATTGATGTTGAATCATCATTTATTATTTATAGTAAATTCTTTATAAATCACATAGATATCAATAATTACAATTAATTTCACTCTATATGTTAAGATATTTCTTAAAATATGTCCTCATTTTATTTCCAAGCTGTCCAAATTTTTATTATTAAACAAATATATAATTTAAATTTTAAATTAAATTAATCCATTCTTTAAAAATTCCAAAGGATCTTTCCATTTAACTAAATATATTTTACATAAAAAATAGTAAAATTTAAAATAAAAATAACTCTTTTATAGTACAATAGACCAACGCATATAAGTTGAATTAAACATATTTTTTTTTATATAATAATTAAATTGTTAAAGTTTTAATGTTCTTTTTCAAACAAGTATTAACTTTATTAACGTCTTGAGCAAAATAACATTATTATTTTGTTTATTATTATTATTATTTAAAGTTAGTTTTGATATAATTTTCATTATAATTTATAGAGAAAAATCAGTATGAAATACTTCAAACTTGTTATTCTCTGCAGAAACTAGTTTGGTTGCTGAAACTGAATTTTTATTAGGATTTATATTAACTGTAATATAATTTTATCGAATATAAACTAATTAAAATATAACCTGAAATAAGATTATAATTATAAGATTTTATATACAATAGTCGAAACTTCCGAAATATTTTATAAAAGAATTATATACAGAAGCTTATACTGTATTATTATTAATCGTTATTTAATTTATTATTATATTCCTCCGTACAGTCACGCATTTAAGCAGTAGTATTTTTATTAACGTATTTCTTTTTTATTATAAATAAGAATAAGAATGTGTTGTTTTACAAAGAAAATTCAAATGCTCTCGAAATTTCAGAAATATTGAGTATTTTATTCTCATCAATATACAGTCGACCCCCTATAACACTGTTGATTATTCCGTTTTATATGAATTCCATGTTGTACGAGTCATTTAGATTTTACAAATACGTGAGCCGTTCACGGCCCGGCACACGTATTTGTAAAATCTAAATGACTCGTACAACATGGAATTCATATAAAACGGAATAATCAACAGTGTTATAGGGGGGTCGACTGGTATACTGTACTGTATATATAATTCTTATCGTACTGCAATTCACAATAAAACAAGAAAGATATGTAAATTTAAGCCATAAAAGAATAATTCTGAAGATAAATCTAAACGAAACTAAATCTGAATTAATATTTTTTTTAAAAATATTCTATATTTTAGTAAATAAATAAAAGTAAAAATTTGTTATTTGATAAATAAAATATGTTAATAAAATAATTTCTATTTATATTATTACATGCAGTATTTCTTTGTGATTAGTGAAAATGTAATCGCATCTTGAGTATTATATTGACAGTATATATAAAAATTAAAAGTAAATAATAATAATAATAATAATAATTTAGGAATGTAGAACATAAATTAAATATACTTGTCACAAAATATCGCATAGGTCTACAGTTAAAAATATTTATTCTTCTGATTTCAATATTTAAAACATTTTAATGATTTGTATCAAATATTTTGTAAACTTTAATTTGATACTTAATTTAAACTGATAGAATTTCAGTTTACCGTTATAAATTATTGGATTGGATTGATCTCACATATAAATTGATAGCTTTTTTTTTATATTGTAAACAATACGCGAGTCCCTATGGCGGAAATAGTTTACGTTACTACCAATTTATTCGAATAAATTACTGGAAAAATTCTAATGGGCTAACTGCTTGAAAATGCAGCGACACGATGTGACTTTCTGCTCGATTTCGTATTCATTAGGAACACTTATTTAGTAAAATTGTTGCACCGTGTGAAGTGACAACTATCCTTTTAACTATTCTAAATTATAAATCTTAAGAATCAAGTTATTAATATATAATTTTATCATCGAAATTTTATGATTAAACAATAAAATATTGATCATTTATAAATTTTAAACTGTTCTTTAATTTTGATTTCTTCAAATTTATTTGGAAATATATATTTTCTTAATATATTTTACAAAATAAGAACTTATTTAGGCAATATATAATTTATTAATATTTTCTTACAATTAATTACTTTTATATTATTTTGAAATGAAGATATTTGCTTATTATATAGAAGTAGTGTTGGATCCATTTCAAACTAGTATTTTTAAGGTCTTTTATATAAATGTTAATCCATTTTGTATGTAGTTTTATGAAGAGACCTTTGATATAGTTGTTTTTCAAGGCTACTTTCTAACACATTTGAATTTTTTCCCTCTGTAGACCTACTTCTCACGATAGTAAATAAGCCATTAGTATTATAATTTTTATTATTTTAACTCGACTTTCAAATTAAGTTAATGTGAAACTTTAAATACCTTGAATTAAATATTGCATTCCACTAAAGAAACAAAAAATAATAGACTACATACACAAATTAGAAACAAATTAAACTATATTTTAGAAGTCCATGACATAAAGACTGTTTCGTGTATACAAAAATATATAATATAAGTTAGTTATCAATTTAGATCTAGTTGAATTAGCATTTATTTAAATAAAACAATGTTTTAATCTTATATTAAAACAATAATGCATTTTAATAAATTCATAAAAAGTTCATTTAATTATACATTATTTTCTGGTGTGGATAACTTTTGACCTCGAAAATACTTTAAAGATTGGAATATATTTATTTAAAAAGTAATACTAACAAAATTATAATATAAACATTTAAATAGGATAAAACTATTTAAACTATTTTAAGTATTTAATTAATTATTTAATATTATTTTTTATTTTTAATACAATATACGCATGTGTTTAAAAGTACAGTACAGAACACGATTTTTCCAATTATTTATATTAATAAATAAAAAATTTGGCCATTAATTTTTATTCATTTGTCAAATTTATATTGACTCTTTCCACCCAGTGGGTACTAAGAGGGTCTTTATTCAAGCTCATTGTATGTGTATATTTTTCTAGATTTATCCCTATTTTTCACCTTGTTGTGAACTACTTTTATTTGTATTTTTAATACTACAAAAGAATTCTAATATCGCATAAATAGGATTAATTACAACTACTCTAAAGAATAATGAAATACAGAATTACAATTACAGCGATACGAATGTATTAAATCTGTAATCATTTACCAAATTGTAAGATTATAACTTAATAAATTAAAAAATTTTTTACTGTTTTTGTTTAGTTATCAGCTTATATTTATTTTGTGTTATTTATTAATAAAAATCTTAAACTGTAAAAATATTAAGGATCCTTGTTTTGGGAGTGTTCCTCACATCATGCCTGACAGAAATAGTATTAGAGGTCAGTTACTTTTAAAAATAATATTTTGATTGATGTTCATGAATTTGCTAATATTTTAACTTACATATTTATATTTTCTATTTGTTATATTTTGAAAATAAGTTTAGAAACTAAAAATATTTTTTCTTTTTCATATTTTAGGAAGGAGTTAAGTATATTCAATGATCTTTACAACTCTCATTATTTAGGCCCAATTTATTAAAATAATAATAAGTTTTAAAATAATTTTTTTTTTTACCTTTAATTGTTTGGATACTTTAACTGTTATCTTACCAAGAGATAAGGCTATATTTGTTATAAGTTATATTAAAAATAAAGGGATTGTTGCCAATGTCACGACATCTCCAGGTGTCGAGCTACACGTTTAGAATATTCAAGTAAGAGCGATAGTCAGTCGAGAATCAATGTAATTCACTCAGTCAACACTTTCCGTATCTGGCATAATTGTAATAGGGACCTCATACGAGGGGGGATATACATAAAATGACCTCGACAATTTCATCTCCCTATGACGTCTGATGTTTGTAACGATTGACAATGAAGAAACTATATGATTCTTGTGAAAGATATCACCAGGACCTATTTATTAAAAAATTAAATCTTACATAATTATTTAAAATTTAAAACTCAAAAATGTAAAAACAGTTAATTGGAAGTTAATTTTTAATGTAATTTTAATTATTTATGTTATTATTATGGTTTAATTAATAAAGATCGTAGTTTCTCTAATGAAATTTATGACATTAATCAATTTTATCTTGTTTTTAAGAACATGATATATTATGAACTTATAAAATTAAAAAAAAATACATGAAATAAAACTTAATAAGTGAGTAAATAAGTAACTAGAGAACGTATTTATTTATTGGAAATATTAAAATAAACCGTAAAGTTAGGATATATTGTTTTTCCGCCATCAAATTGTCGGGAATCTCGACCAAGAAGACACAGTGACACCATCTGACGTGTCTTGGACCTAAATGAGCGTTTATTCACACCTTACTGCTTCCGAATTCAATAAGCGTTTCCCGATGTCCTTTATAAGAGAGGATGGTGCAAGTTTCATACCCTGACCGTAGATCAAGTCACCATATTCAGTTTACGGGACTACAATTAAGCGGTCATGACATGATGTCAGAATTTATACGCATGCCCAGAATGCTGTAACGAATAGCACATTTTTCTTTGAAGAAAAATTTTACATAAGATTAAATATCGAATAAATACAATAGTTTTAAATTCGGTTGTAATACGCCGATAATCTTAGTTTTTCCAACTACAATTGATGTATTTTACTGTATTTCATCGATTGGTATCTTTGTATTTTTCTAATATTTTCTAACATTTAGAACACGTGAAAATATCTGTTTATAAGAGACAATCTATATAAGTTTCTCCACCCTATAGAGGGTGGGATCAATGTCTGTCTATCTCCACCTCAACTACCTGGACAGAACCAATGGACGAACGTGTCATCTTTATATAGGAGGTAAACTAGCTATGTCGTCCCATTCTCGTCATGTCCAGCCGTTGGACCATTGTCACTCTGCTCCTTTGTATCTTTTATACAAGCGTCAATCTTAGGTAAGTTAAATATTTATTGTTTATTCCATAAATTTCATTTACTTAAGTGATATTATTTTACGTAGTAAAGTATTCACGGTGACAAGAAAATAATTTCGTTTATGAAATTCGTTCGTATAATGTATTAAAATTAAGTTTAATTGAAAAGCAGTCGATTCGTAATCGGATAACAATATTTTGAGTAAATTTAATTCGTTGTTATCGTAATAAAATGTTAATATGCCATAATAAACACGATGAACTTTGCTCGCGAAAATATCTGCGAAATAAATTAAATTTCTTTAGTAATAAATATATTATACTTATCGTTTATTTTAAAGCACATTATTACCATTTAAAAACTATCTTAATGTTATTTAACTAAATTACATTTGGAGAAATACATAATTATATTTTATGAGAAATCTTAGGCACGTTTTCTCATTATTATAATCAAAGGGCGGATCATTTTAATCCACATATTATTGAGTTGTATTCTTTTACTTCAAATTTCATATTACTGCTCATAAATTAAAGATATAAAATGGTTTTATGTTTTTTATTATGATGTATCATTTCCTGGTCCTCGCATATTATGTAACACCTACATACTTTCAGGGTACTTAATTAAAGTTATAAAATTTTCTTAGGATCCAAGTATAATATTGTCGCCATTTTAAACTAATCGATTCTATAATTTACAGAACTGTTTTCGCGAGTTACTCTATCTCCCACACCTCGCTGTGAACATGAGATCCCCATTACACTCCCGAATCTTATCACTAGAATTCCACCCACAATCAAACTGTAAGAGAATACCAACCAAACCTGTCATACCTCTTCTCTAATTACTTCCACCTTCGCTGATTTTTTCCCTCTTTCTGTGATTAAGTGATTCTAATGAGTAACTGATTAACTTCACGATCGAAACTGTTTGAATGATTAGAGATATTTCTTCCGTTAAACAGCGTTTAAATTATCTCTAACTGTACTATGTTTTCTTTTGTAACTAATATTTAACTATCGATTATTATGCTTCCGAAAATGGTAGAAACAATCATTAATTTTCCGGATGATCACCTCATTCATCTCATTGTAAAAATGCACTCCCTTTTCTACGTAGAACGAAATACGATTTTAAAAGATGTCCCTCCCAAATCTGTTTTACTAATCGATCTTATTCGCTGTCAACTGTCCAATTCCTAACTGAAAGAAGGAGGTGTAACTTGCGATCAGAATAATTCTCATAACAGTTTCTGCGGGAAAGAATGAGTTGATATTCCTGACAAGTGGCACTTTTTTTAAAAAATTTCAATAAAAAAAATAATAATAATAAGACTTTACGCCAAGAATGTAGAAAAGTTTTAACAGAAATGTAACGAAAATGATACAATTTAACATTTCTTTCATTGAAAATTTGAATGGTTTTTCTTTGATCGAGTATACCTCCAGGCCTAGAAATAATTAAACCTTTAAATAGATGCCCATATAACAAATTAGCGAAAAGACTTTAGGGTGACATTAGTTTAATCGTTTTCTTTTAATTTGATAAAGTGTCACGAATATCTAACAAACGTTCCAATTTCCAGACAGACTAGAGCGTTTTCTGGTAATAAATTACACAGTTCAAAGTTTCACTTCATTTAAGGTTCACTACATCTCATGACTTAAAGTCTCACTCGACGAGTTTTATGGTTAATTGAGAATGTAAAGCAGAACAGTCGCAGAAATATAGGTTATAAAGCAAATAATAATTAAAATATTACTAAAGATTTTTCTATTTATTGAAGTTAATTTTGATGGCGTATCAAAAATTTATACAAAACTTAAAGCTTGTCGGTTTTTAAATTAAGAATATGCCAAATTTTCCATCTGTGCTGAAACATTTTTGCACAGCCTAATTCTAATTGTAACCAATTACATTTTAAAGTATAACTAACTCACAGTTCAATGTTCTCATATTTGGTATCATTGCGTATAAAAACTATTATATTTGTTTATTTATAAATAAACACTGAAATTTGCATATACTTTGTTTCAATTATCATATTTTGTAATAATTCTGGGTGATTAACCTTACCCATTTAATTTCATTTGCAATGTAAGATCCGATCGTCCTCTGTCAAACAAATCCGTTATATACGATGCAGAATAGAAACCATCAACAAATTTATCCATCGATATAATACGAAAGCCTCTTGAATTACGACGAAGAAAACCAGAATGGAAGAAAACAAGTAAAATGTGACACCCATAGTAAAGAAGTTTCAAAGTGAATGATTTGAACACATTCCTTTGCCAAAGAGGGAACTGATGAATGAATGAATGAGACAAGAATATTAAAACTGCTTAAAAACAGAGGCACATAAAATTATCTGTAGTATAAGAATACGTCTACATTCTTTGGCTTTAACACCAGTTAATTCCATGACTTATTTGTTTAGATCTTTGTCCTCGGTTGTTGCATTTAGTGCTAACGTGATTTGTAATAACATTCCTGGATTGACTACGACTCAACGTAGGTTATGTTACCGGAGACCAGATGTCATTGTGGCTGTTGGCGAAGGATCCAGAATGGCGATTATGGAATGCCAGAAACAATTCCGAAACCATCGTTGGAACTGTACTGCTATAGGGAGTGATGCGGTTTTCGGTCATGTGGTTACTGTCGGTGAGTAATAAAAAGAAGATCCTCACTCTGAAAATTTCGTATTCGATTGATCTAAACTTTTCATTTTGCACAGGTAGCAAAGAGGCAGCTTACGTCTATGCTATTAATTCTGCAGGAGTTGCTTATGCAGTCACTCAAGCTTGCAGTCGTGGAAACATCAGTCGCTGTGGATGCGATAAAACTAAAGACGGTGTGTATAAAAGTTGGAAATGGGGAGGATGTAGCGCCGATGTTAAGTACGGAATGGAAATTGCCAGAAAGTTTTTAGACGTTCGAGAATTAGAAAAAGATGCGCGATCCTTAATGAATCTTCAAAATAATAAAGCCGGTCGAAGAGTAAGTTCATTTTTTAATCTTTATTAAGATTAATTTGCACACCGTGATCAAAGATGAAGTTGTGACCTTTACAATTTTCAGTTTATATATACAGTACAGTACTTATACTTCTTTAACTAATTAAAATAGGAAAAATACATTTATATATCTAAGTGGAATTTTATAGTTTTCTAGATCAGAAATGAAAATACTAAAGTTATCTATTGTTGCCCTGAGCTAAAGAAATGTTTGCTATGACAATATACTTCCCGCAGAGAGATAGATACTTCTTTTTTAATGGAAGCGTGTTTCTTTGCCATCTCTCAGCCTTCGTAATAAATAGTTAACCTCTTGCATCGAAAGATTTATGAAAAAGCTAGTTTTAAATTATTTTTGTTATAAATCCATTGATAGTTTACTAAACCATAAAAAGATAAAGATCTAAATAAATGATTTCTTTAGCATATTTCCTTTTGAAAAAAATTATATATATACAATTAATAAATTTTTTTAAAGTTTATCATTAAAAAATAAATGGGTATTTTTCTAATTTCATCTTCATTTATTTAAATTTTGATTACTAATTTATTTTATAAAACAGCGAAATTAAAATTCTTACGTGTGTTTAGTCTTTTATAATAATAATAAACAAGAAATTTATTCGGTTTATAAGTCTTAAAAACATAAATTACTGAAGTTTAGATTCTAAAATATCATCTTATCTATAAAATACGTTTAAATATTGTTATTTACGATGTTTTTAATTCGACATTTCGAAACTTACTTTCTTATTTTCGTTTTTATCTTTAAAAAAAAAATGAAAATTTTCAAAGTACTTAAGCTCATAAAATATAGAATTAGAATAGGCTACATGTTTTAAGAGGTCAGCAGAGAGTAAAGGTTTCTACCAACCTTTATATTGACTTATGCTTTCAAAGGTCTGTCAGTTATCCAAACGTAACCTATCCCTTTCTTTACAATTTTGAGTTGTAATTCAACAAGTTAGAAATAATCGTCGTAGCCGCAAGTTATATAACACTTTCAAATATAAACATTCGCCCTTTGATCCATCAATCAGTCCTTCGAATTCGTTTATGCCCCTGGCAAATAATGCTTTCAGTTCTCCATTAAACAAACTTTGAACCGCGTCATCGAAAGAATTAGAGCATGCATGTGCTATGTGTAAGGGCCCGTTCGGTTTTTAATAATTATAAACTTTCAACTTAATTTTAAGTATATTTTTCTGTGATTTAATTTAAAATTATGCAGAATTTATATAATAAATATCAATCAAATTAAACTTCATTTAATATTCGTATAGACTTATATTAATTAATGGATTATTCATTTTCCTCCTTCATGTATAAAGCTTTGTTTGATAATAATAGTATCGATATTTTAATTATTATTAAATGTCTAGAATATTTATTTTATGCTACATTTGTTGTCAGTTGTAGCATACAAAAAAATCCAATTATTTAAATAGAAAAAGTCTAATAGTACAATCACCAATCATCATTATTATTACTTGCAATAATTATTATAAAATATTAGAGTTTTAGAAATAAAATATTTAAATAAAGAAAATTGTCTCCAATATAAATAATAATTTCATTATTCATTCAATTATATGGACTAATTTGTAAGGACATAATTAATATAATAATAATAATAATACAATAAAAATTTAAACGTTTATTTAAATCCTTCATTTTTTTTCCATTTAGGCTGTCAAAGATACAACGTTAACAGAATGTAAATGTCACGGTGTATCAGGCTCTTGCACAATGAAAACTTGTTGGAAGATGCTGCCTCCATTTACTCGTATTGGAGAATATCTACTTAATCGATATCAAAAAGCTAAAAGAGTGATGGCTCGTCCCTCAAAAAAATTCCTTCCTCTTATTCTTCGATTAAAAAAACATAAAGGAACATTTAAAAGGCCCAAGCCGAAAGATCTTGTATATTTAGAAAAGTCTCCGAATTATTGTGAGAAAGATTTAAGTGTAGGATCGTTAGGTACTGTCGGACGTATCTGTAATAGAACTTCTACCGATATGGATGGATGTGGCCTGCTATGCTGTGGCCGTGGTTATAATACTCATCAATATAATAAAACGTGGCAGTGCAAGTGTAAATTTCACTGGTGCTGTTTTGTTAATTGCCAAGTGTGCAGCGAAAGAACCGAAGAGTACACTTGCAAGTAAATCCTATTTGTTAGTGATATATTTATAAAACTACAACTGTTTATATTCTATTTTATAAATTGTATATATAATAATCTATTTGAAAAATAAATATATTTATTTTAATACTTGTGATTTAATTTATTTAAATAACAAATTAATTGAAATTTTTAGTTCAGGGACTTTTTTTTTTTTTTAAATAATTAGCATAATTTTAGGATTGGTGTAATTCACAAAACGCGATATCTTTCTCGGGATAACTCTCCGGTCAAGGATAATTTGGATGACATCAACTGAAGATATAGCACCAAATTGGTCAAACCAAAACAACTGGAGGTCTTATACAAAATATTAATGGTTAAAAATCGAGTTATAACACGATCCATTCCACAATTAAATTAATATATGACATTGCTACTTTGGATTAAAAAAAAAAATTACAGTTAATGAGACTTTTGAAGTAGATTTGGTTAACCTATTTATTCCACACGAGAAAATATATTAATAAGTTTTATAGTTTGTTTATATCTTGTAATCCTGTCTGTTTCCGCAATAATAATTTGTACGGAGGATACCCGCGAGCCATTCAGGTGTTGGATGTGAATTGCAAGGTGGGACCACCTTTGAACGGGAAAGTACCGAATCAGCCTTGCTCCAGTTAAAAAAGTTATCGAAAATAGTGTGGGTGATGATAGGAAAGAAGATTAAATGAGTGATAATAAATATTGGCTAAACCAACAAACATTAGTATAATTGATTATGAATTAAAAGGGCGATATTTAATATGAATTAATCCATTTTTGCTCGGCGATATCTTATCTTAAATCTAATAATTGGCACAAGTATTTTTAAAAATAAATTTATATAGATGTCAATTTGCTCGTTGATATAAAATGCTTTAATACGGATATAATGCTCAACCTTTTATAAAAACCTTACGTTTTTTTAAGAGTATATTTTGCAAGATACTCCCAATAAAAAGATAAATGCATTGGCTTGTTTCACTTCGGGGCATTCTTCGGGTGACATCATATATTTTCAAAGGAAAACTGCTCACTTAAGGTGTAGCTATTTACACAAAGAAATATTATACGTTCAATTACCTATTAATTACAGCTTGGCAAAGAATTAAATACCATATATTTCGCTGCTGAAAAGAGATTCGATCTTTAAGTATTGCAATGATCCATTACTAAACACTCATCCTAACCTGCTATTTACTACTAACCAAACCCACAGCAATATCGGTTTATGTATTCCGTACACGGACGGGTACTGCCAAAGGTGTGACTGTAAGTAGCACCATAACATCGCGAGCGGGGTCATGCCCTACTGCTTACTGTCTAAAGTGCATGCTTGACGTTATCTAAAAAATCACTTTTTTTTATTAAAAAAATAAAATAATTTTAATTCTTTTTTAATCTTAGAAACAGATAAAATAAGCATCAATTATTCAATTGATTCCATTACTATAATTTATCCTTTTCAATATGTCAAAATTCAAAACTAAGTTTAAAAGTTAAATTCTATTTACGTAAAACTTTCATTACTTCAAAACTAAGATAATATCTAAAGATTATGAATAAATGAAACGTCATCATTGTTCTATCGTTTTCTTAATCGGTGACAAGTTCTGGAAGGATTATGTGTTGTGAATATAGATTATTAATTATCATGGAACGATGGATAACAGGTGTGGGATGAGATTCCATGTGCATGAAACATAGTAAAGTCCAGGATGTAATGAGTCAGCTTCAGTTTGGAGAAATCCTTGACAGAATTGTCCGACTTTCTCCATCGCAGGTGTTCGAAGTTACAGGTATGACAGAGCAGCCTACACGACGTGATTAATTGTGAGCCTGGGGTACATTTTCTCTTTTACCTCATCTACATGTAAACATGTGGCGCAAAGCCATGGTTATGAATGGTTAGCAATAGGTGAAATCGTACATCAACCACAGTTGAATTTAATTGGAAAACTGACTGATTTAGTTGCATCTTTTTATCATTCATTGTAAAAATAAAAGAAAATTATTAAGATTTTATTTTAAGATAATTTTATGTTTATAAGAGAAGACTGTAAAGAACTCAATTATTATTTCATTCAAAAACCTTTAAATGAAGAGCTATTCTTAAATCTGAAATTCTTCACTTAAGCTTAATTATTCGCTTCCGTATGAGAATATTTTATTTATACAATTATTAAGTTAAGTTTCAATTAGGGAGCTTTTCAAAGTGTTATATTTCAGATCATTAAATTTCCGAAAGAAGTCGAAAATTTATTTCAAAATGGTTAATGATGCGTTCATAGATTTATGATGCAAAAGTAATGATTTACTATCAAATATCGTTTCTTCTAATTAAATTATTCCAGCTAACTACACCGACTTTTTCTTCTATTTTCCACCTATTTAATTATTTTATAAGAATTCATTGTTTATTCCAAGTTAATTATAAACTTAAATTTAAATTAATATAAAGAAAATTTATTGAAAACTTATCTGCGATTTATTAGAGATTTTTTAACATTCTATTGAAAAATATTATTCATGTTATAGTCATGCTGATTATAAATAAGAATATATTTAAAATTTTCAAATATATATATATTTAACTCTGAACAACGATAAGAATAACACGCTTTAATTTGAAATGCATTCAAACATTGTTTTGATTCGTCACGGCATTTTCATTCATTGTGAAAAAGCATTCACTATTGTTTATAAAAGATAATATCGCCAAGCCCAATCTTGGTTAAACGAGAAACTTACGAAGATTTATTCTTGTAAGAGCTTTATTATATGATTTTCATCGCCCACTAAAAGTTGTGTAAACATTTCTGTTATCATTCTATTTGAAGTTAAAAGAAATTACTAAAATATTCAACATTTTAATTAACATTACATTGGTTTATATCAGCATTTTCACTACCAGTGGTACACGTACTATCACAGGAGTGGGCAAGAAGGATTCATTAGTGCTGCAAATCTATACCAGTGAAAAAAAGGTTGAAAACTGTTTGTTTTTATGATCCGAGTTAACTTAATACAATTTTTACAGAATTTAACACTTTTAAACACTTATTCGTGTTTAAGAATGAATAAAAAAGTGAGTATTTATGAATAAATAAACAAAAATCTTAATGAATAATGACGATCAGAACCGAAATGACTTTGTACTCTTTCATTATTTTCCAGATTTATTTCCCTTTTTTTTCTGATTGGCAAGAAAGGATTTATTTCTTTTTCGACAAGACATAATGAAACTCTCTATACTATTTTCAAATGTGTGATATTTGTTTTGATTACTAAGTATCATATTACCAAATTCGATTCCGTATAGAATTGCTTGACTCACAAACTTGAAAGTATTGTGGAAAGGGCAAAGAACAAATAATGCATGTTAGTTTCTCACCTATAAGAAGCCTCAAGTTAAAGATAATTTTGTCTCCGGAAAAAAAAAAGTTGTCCTTTTGATTTAGAAAACTTCAGAAAATACAATTTAACAGAAAGTATGAAGTCCAACTAAATATAAATTTAGAATTTGGTATGGCGAATTAAATATATATATAATTTATCAACATTATATTCTTCAAACATTAGAAATTTAATCTAAATTTCTTCAGTATGTTTAATTTCTAGAGTTTTTTTCCTCTTTTATTGAAAGATGCAATGTACAGTACAGTACATGAAATGAAAAATAATTAACGTTTGTACTGCTTTCATACAAGAGTCGGTTTCCTTAGAACATGGATTTTCGGAGGTAGAAAGCAAAGAATTTTATTTATTTTTTAACAGTAGAAATATAGAATTTCGTAGTTAAATTATAATTAAATATATCTATTATATTCTACAAATTTTTAACGGGTTTATCGAGTAAAATTAAATGCATTTTTTCGGAATTTATATTAAATATTTTAAACTTAATTTCTGATCTTTCTAATTCTAAAATTATTGATTTATCTAAATGACAACTTTATTTTATTAAATTATAAATGATAAAAATAATTTTTAATTATAAATATTTTTATTTTGCTTTTATACGTATATAAATATTCGTAATACAGGTTTAACATTTAATATAGGCCTATATATATATATATAAATTAATATTGAATTTATTTTAATAATTTATTAATAACGTGCCATTTATTTATTTTGTTATTAATATTATTAATATATTACTAAGTAATACGTTAATTAATTATATATTTAACTAGAATTTGTAAACGTTTTTGTGCGAATTTAATCATACTTAAATCTTAAAATTATATTTAAGTCTTATATTTAATAGAAAATTAATAATACTAATTTTAACTCAAATTAAACCACGCTATAAATTTAGTTTTTTGGGAGGTATATTTTTATTTTAAGAATATAAATCAGAATGAGTTACCCTAATTACCCCCCTCTGGATTCGCCCTTGGAAATAAGTTTACCAAATTTGACAATGTAGCAACTGTGTTACCTAATTTTTGTTTTCCTCTTTCTTCATTTTATTATAAATAAGCTTGTATAAATATTATATGAATAAAATCGAGGCCTTTTGTGGGAAAAGTAAGAACAATTAATGCAATTTTTTTTTCAAATATTTAATTTATCCTTAAGCTTAAATACTTGCTTGATGAGCATCAGAATATCATTTCAATTCATTATTATTACAGTAATAGCATAAGTATCAATCTGAAATTAGTTTGTAATTAACGTATAAAAATATAAAATTATAATTAGGCCTATATAAATCGAAATACACATCGGTTGGAACATTAATCACAACTTAATAGGCATTAAATATATACGGTTTATAAAATAAATGAAGAATAAACATATATTAAAGTCGACCCCCCTATAACACTGTTGATTATTCCGTTTTATATGAATTCCATGTTGTACGAGTCACTTAGATTTTACAAATAGACTACGTGAGCCATTCACAGCCCGGCACACCTATTTGTAAAATTTAAGTGACTCGTACAACATGGAATTCATATAAAACGGAATAATCAACAGTGTTATAGGGGGGTCGACTGT